ATTGATTCTCTTCATTGTCTCTCCTGACTGACCCAGAACTCACTAAGTGAGATGGAATAAAAGTTTGAGTTCTTTTTTTTTTTTTTTAAATTATTGGAGTACTGTTAGGCAGCTGATAACCTAAAATTGATTGCTTTTGGAGGTACAAAATAAAAAGACTATTTGAGGGTTTTTTTACTTGGTTATTTTTAGAAAAGGCATATCAGAGCAGTGTTTCTTGCTTTTTAGGGGAGCTTGTTGAGAGAACAACCAGAAAATGATCCCTTATTGTGACCCTGATGATTTTGTTTTTAAGCAATTAAGCTGTTTAGGCCCTGTTACAGCACTATTCATCTATACTTTTAATGTCTTAGTTATGCAAGCTAGAAGAAGGGAATGACTTCTGTTAAATGAAGTACTGACCTACTATCACCAAGCTGGATTTCAGTTCCTTTTTACTTTGTCTTGCACACACTGAAGAACTGTAGTCCAATGTAACACTTGAAGATAAACTTCCAAGAAATTCTATATGCTACTTGTTTTGAAATGCTATGGGCAACCTTCTTTTTGTCCCAGTTCTTCTAATACTTAATTTTGATAGCAGTCATTGAATAATCTAGGTTGGGAAAGACCTTCAAAATCATCAAGTCCAATGGTCAACCTGATTTAGCAAGTCCCACCACTAAAATATGTCCCTTAGTGTCATGTCCACACCTGTCTTAAATACCTCCAGGGATGTAATTCTAATCTGTTAGCCTTTAGCAAGCACTTAGGCTATTAGAGCTAAACAAAGCAACATTAACTATTACAATCAGATCAGCTTTCTAAGTGTTGCTGATTTCTTGTGTCATTAACACACCTATTTATCATAGTATCTTTTGCTGGATCAGTATCACTAGTTCCAGCTCTTGCATATTTTTCTTCAGAATTAAGGATAGTTTCTACAAGTAGAATAGCATTTCGAAGATTAAAAAAAAAAAAAGAAAAAGAAAAAAAAGAAAGAAAGCCTTGAGTTTGCATTTCCTGATCTGTAAAAATGAAGAGACCTGTGGTTTTGTATCGTCAAGTCCGTGTTTGTTGTGTTGCACTTACGACATCAGTAGCTGTCTCATGCTGTAGGTTGCTCAATTAATTTTTGTATTACAGCTTAGCGAAATTCTTCAGATTGCATGCTTGTGCAACCAAACACACATATGCAGATGGTGCGTACTTTGTCCTTCATAGAATTTGTACTGGGTTGTGTTTCTTGTTATTTTCACCTTTCAGACCAGGCTTGAGAAGCAGTGAACCTTTGAGAGAACCATGCTGAATAATCGTTGTTGGTTTGTCCTGGTTATCAGGTCCATACCCCTTCTTGGACAAGTGTTTGGCAGTGCCTGTGTGTAGTGTTTTTGAGAATGGTCCTAATGCTTGCAGTCGATATAGAAAAATGGACTCAACTGTACAAATCTTGGAAGCTTTAGCTCCTGTTTAAAACATGGATAAAACTCCATACTTTAGTACCTGTCAACCATGATAAAGTTAGGGTTATTTGTCTGCTTGAAATGATCTGAAGAAGCTATTGCATTAACAGGGCACCTGTAGTGCTTTGCTGTCCTTAATTAAGCAACTCCCTGTTGGAACCACAGGTCAGTGTCACGGTACTATATTCAGAATTGGTCAGGCTATGTGCCATCTCATATGCATTCAAAACTATTTCTGAATGCTGATTTTGAGAAAATTTTTAGGATAGCTCCAGAACTTGGATGTATTGGAGGAAAGGTATGTTATTAAGTAACCTTATTTTTCTTTACAGAGTCATAGGGATTGGAAGGGACCTCTGGAGATGTTCCAGTACAACACTTCTGCTAAAGCAACTTCCCTACCATAGGTTGCACAGGAAAGTGTCCAAATGGGTTTTGAGTGTATCCAGAGGAGGAGACTCCACAACTGCTCTGGGCAGCTTGTTAGAGTGTTCTTGTCACTCTCACAGTAAATAAGTTTTTCCTCATGTTCTGATTGAACTATCTGTGTTCCAGTTTGTGCCCCTTGCCCTTTGTTCTGTTGTTGGGCACCTTCATAAAGAGCCTGGCCCCATGCACTGCATTCCTGCCTATCTCCAGGCTGAATATAGCCCCAGGTCTTGCAGCTTTTCCTCCTGAGGACATGCTCCGGACCCCTTGTAACCTCTGTGGTCCTCCACTGGACTCTCTCTAGAAGTTCCCTGGCTTCTTGACCTGAAGAGCCCAGAACTGAACACAGTACTCCAGATGTACTCCAGAAGGAGGAGGATCACCTCCCTCAACCTGCTGGACATGCTCTTTTTAATCCACCCCAGGATACCATTGGTGGTCTTAACCACAAGGGCAGACTGCAGGCTGTCAGTAGTTTTTGCTTTCATAACCTGATTTTACAGATTTTACTTTCAGGAATAACTTTTGGCATAGATAGCAGATAAGGAAGGTGGAAATGTCAGTCTCCTGGTACATCTATTACAGACCTGGCATTGGAGGAAAAATATGATTGCTTGCAACGTACTTTAAAGTTTGGTATCTTCCTAGAGGGATGCTAACAACTGTTACTAGTATTTTGTAATTAGAGACTCTTAGCATTGTTGAGCCTGTAGGTTCAAGTCAGCTCTAGTTGAATTTTTGGAACGTTCTGGTGATTATAAATTAGACTTATGAGAAAAGACAGAAACATGGAACAGGTTCAAAACCGTATCTGTAAGCTTCTGTTGGCCACTTTTGCTTTATCACTGTGAGCCTGTGTTATGAAAGGAACCAAGGTTACTATGTGTACAGAAGAAAGAAGATGGGGTGAGATGTGGGGCATGGAAAGCTGTACATTTTCAGGATATAGAAAAAGGAACAAAATAAATAATGGGCATGTGGAAAAATATGTAGCAGAAAGAAACCAGTGTGGCTTTCATGGGGAGAAGGCACGCCTTGTAAGGGGTTAGGTCTTTTTTTTTATTTTCAATTGAAAAATAGAAGATGGTATTTATATAATATTTAGCAAATTCATGTTTAATAGACTTCTATAAAAACAAAAACCTGTTGAAAACCTGTTGACAAGGTCTCAAGAACTTTGTTTTTTTTTTTTTTTTTCCTAAAGGAATTGCTCAGGATATGTTCTAACTGGAAAGCTTTCTAAAGGGAGTCTGTTATAACTAAAGCATGACATTTGATATTGACAAACGTGATGGAATGCCTATGGTTGAGGAGGGGAAAAAATACAAATAAGGGAAATCAGAATTTTGAAATCGGGAAAAAGATGCTAGCTAGCAGTGATTAAAGGAAAAAAGAGGTATGATGAAATGAGTTTCCTAGGCCAGGTTGGATGGGGCCCTGGGCAGCCTGGTCTAGTATTAAATGTGGAGGTTGGTAGCCCTGCCTGTGGCAGGGGAGGTTGGAGATTCATGATCCTTGAGGTCCCTTGCAACCCGGACCATTCTGTGAAATTATTTTAAAGCAAAAGAACAGATGTGCTGGTAATATCTTCTAATTTTGAATAATGGTGCGGTTTTTGTTTCATCCATGTCAAAATATGTTATAGAATGGTAGAGAGTATGGCATCGGAAATGTGGAACAACATTTCTTTTAAAGTAATGCCATTTGATTTTTATTTTTTCCTTGCATTTTACTCAGAAGACTGAGTAAGGACTTATGTAAAGACACTGAAGTAAATATCAGTGCCACGTATAGGCTGTACTAGAGAAGGTGCATCTATTAGGTCAACAGAAGCAGTTCTTCCTCTTTACCTGGCGCATTTGAAACTGCGTCTGGATTGCTCTATTTGAGCAGATGCCTCCAAGATAGTGATGTACTGGAGTGCATCCAGTGGAGTGCCCCCAAGCTGGTTAGAAAGCTGAAGTAAATGCTGTGCATGGAGAGGCTGAGAGGTTGGGTTTCTTCAGTTTTAGAATAAGAATGGGAGGGTTATTGCTGTTTTATTACTGGTAAGGAATGTATAGCAAAGGAGAAGCTGGAGTTGTCCACTGTAAAGCGAAGAAGATGGCAACAGACTGAAGTTGCAACACTAGGGAATCTGATGAGATGTTAGGAAATTGTTCACTTTTTCCACAGTGGGGTTAATCAGATGTTTGGAAAAACATTTTAGAAAGGTAGCAGAAACTTCAGGCTTTGAAAATACCCATTAAAAAGTTAATTGTAAAAGGCCATGCTTGTATTTGAGCAGGAAATTTGACTAAGTAGGTCCCTGAGATCCTTTCAAAGATGAGCTGTCCTCTAATTCTGTGGCTTTATGGAAGACAAACATGAAGGGTTCTAAAAGGTAATGAGTCTGTTTACTAGGTTAAAAAAAAGGCATGTCTGTAGCTATTTAATTTTTATCCAGAAGCAACATCCGTCTACCTCTAACATGGAAAGAGCACTTCAGTTTTTTTTTTTCTGGTCCAGTTTCATTCTCGGCTGTGTATCTGTCATGACACATAACAGACCATCCGATAAAAAGTGACCCTGCTGTCCATGTTCCTACAGTTGCTGCTAACGTGTTTGCAAACTACTTCCCCACATCCCCTAAAAAAAAAAAAGCTGCCAAACCAATAACCCAAAACAAGGTCAAATCATTAATTTACTCAACACATCTGATAGACATGCAGACTACCAGACCAAATAATTAAGTGTGGGAGTCTTCAGCATCCTGTAAAACTTCAGGGTCATTTGTGGTTATAGGTGTAGATACATCTCTGGTCTGACCACACATGCTTTCCCCTCATCCCCTGAGTAAAAATAAGGAGTGAGTGATGTGGCTTAGAAGTAGCTGCAACCACACAAGATTTTCTGGCAAGTTATTGAGTGGGGAAGAACTTTCCGGCCCTCTCATTTGTTGCTGCTGTCTATAAGTTATACAGTACAGTGATAGTGGCTATTTTCTGACTAAATGCTTTGTTCAAGATGATGAACCATAATAAATAAATGTGTAAGATATCCTTTTTGACCTAAATGAATCTGATGCAGTGCCATAAAGGTTAATGGAACAAATAAAGTTTGTAACAAACACGAACTTTCTTCTTACAGCATAAGCAGCACTATTATGGATGTAGACAGCACAATTTCCAGTGGACGTTCAACTCCGGTGATGATGAATGGACAAGGAGGTCCTGCCTCCTCTGCAAAAAGCATTGCTTATAACTGTTGCTGGGATCACTGCCACGCTTGCTTCAGCTCCAGCCCGGATTTGGCAGATCATATTCGCTCCATACATGTGGATGGTCAGCGAGGAGGGGTTTGTATTCTTTCTTTTCTTCCTTAGTCCTTATTGCACTTCTTAATGACAGTAGTAATTTTATGTTATAAAATATCTATTCTGTAGCTAGTGACAACTGAGGTTAGGCCCTCAGCAATGTGGTATTGGGTATTGAGCTGTTGTGTTCTACACAATTCGCTCTATTTTTCCATTCTATGGTTTTGTTTGAATGGTTAGCTTTAAGAAAATATGTTCTTAATAAAATAATTGAATCTATTGAATTTTTAATAGGTTTAGTAACTTCTCAGCAGCCTGAAATGCTGGTTTATATAGAAATACTTGGAATTAATTTTCTTGGAACTTCTAGTGTATGTGTGGCTGCATGTTAACTCAGGCTAAGTCACATCGTGATTATTTTTACAAATGGGAGTCCTGTTAGTAATAAAATATGCATGGATAAATATAAGAGAGAAGTAAGATGGGTTGTTTTGGGAGTACAAGTCCTAGCAAAACAGTTCTGTTTGTACTGACAGCAGGTCTTACATCTTCAATGTAACTGCATCTAGTATTTTTTTTTAAATTGAAGTACGTATTTCAGTTTAATACGTGGTTAAGTGATGTGGTTTTGGTAGGTCTCACAATTTTAAGGTTTTAAATAATATCCAAGTGGTGTAATATTAACTCTGTACTTCTTTAATTGGGTCACAGTGGTGGCTGTGACTCATTGGCTGCATTTAGCTAATGTTATTTGTTATGACTGAACTTTCAGCTTGATATTCAGTGACTTTTTTTCAGTCCAAACTCCAGGCAGAATCATCTGACCGATGTGCCAACTTCTTAGTCACCCAAAAGATAGACTTTGTAATTCTATTTGTAGGTTTACAAAAGTGTTACGTGTGTCCTGGATGAAACAATTAAGTGGATGAGATGTATCCGTATCCTGTGGAATTTCATGTAAATGCATCTTTGGTGACCTTTGTCCCACCTGTGACCCCTTTTCATTGCTCAAGAAGAGATTGAAAATCCTGAAAAATGTTCTATGTTGTATTTGTCTGTTTATGTTCAGTGTGGTGTGATTTGTGGATATTTTTACTTAGAAAATGCCACTGTATTCATCTTTTTGAAAGAGACAGCTGTAGGTAACGCTGTGTGCCTGATTACTGTGTTCAGTTCGCACTTGTTTTATTCCCCCCGGTGGAGTTGATTTATTTGTTGTAAAGTTTCTCCACTGGATGCTCTGGCAGGAGAATGTTTTCTTCCAAGGACTGGTTCGCCATCTGCTGGTGAGGCGGTTAAGTGGTGCATGTTCTTGGGGGTTTCATTGGTTTTCAAAACTTGATCAGCTCAGTGACTATAAACTTGAAGAAAAGTAGCAGTAAATGCTTACTGGGAACTTTTAAGCATGCTTATCATGTTGCTTTTATGGTTGTAATGTATATATTTTTTTCTAAGCTAATACTAAGATAACGCTTCCACTCCATATAGAATCATGAATGCCCAGGATACACTAATGGAATAATAGTTTTACCTCCCTAAAATGTTTTGTTAGAAATATTTTGGATACAGCCTTCAGACACATGTTCCCAAAAGGCCTTGCTGGAGTTTCTTGTGCATTGCTGTAAAACCAAGTGCATGTTTTCTGCAGAGATTGCATTTCAGCAACCTGTTGTTTCATAGTAGTTCTTTCCTGGATGCTCTGCAGTTGGTGATGGAGATACTGGGACAATGAAGTAACTGTTTCAGTTCCAGGAATTTGAAAATTCCAGTGCCTACAGGGAGACCTTAAAGCTCAGAAGCAGCAGACACCAAAACATGAGAAAGTTAGGCCTCATGGGTCAGTAGACCTTGATCAGTCACATAGGCATACAAGGTTTTCCAGCTTTGCATTCGTAAGCTGGGGTATCTGTATGTTACGTAGCAAGCACATAGCACTCCTCTGGCTATGCTTTTGTTTTGAAAGTACAGTCTTTTGAAGGTTCAGTTTTTTTAATCTCTGAAAGAGAACAAGAAACCCAAATCCAATTAGTTGCTTCAGTTCTGAAAGGTATTCTGAAAGTATTTTGGACAATGCTATTCCTGGGGACTGTATTCTGCTGCTAAAAATTGGGGCTGTACCTCCCTTCACACACAGACTTGTTGAGGAATTTCTGATGAAAGCCAAGTTCATTGAGCTTTTTTATTCTCTAGGTTATAGATAGACACAATGAGAGGAGAGAGAGAAAAGCAGCGTGAGTAAGTTCTACTCCCTTTAATGCACTATTGTGCGTGTGACTAATCTGTACATGGAAATAGCTAAACACCCATAGATTTTAAATCCTATGGAAGATTTTAATTTTATTCATCAGGAAGTGAACTTAAAACCTTAACTAGGGTTATCCAGTATTCTATAGTATAAAACTTACATTTAAACAACTGGGTTTTAATTAAGACTTCAACTTTGCCTTCTTAAAGAATGAAGTTATTTCATGCTTATAAGATGAAATAATTTTATCATTTATATTTTTGCTATCCAGTAAATTTCATCATACAGAATTTTATATCTCAGTACTTGGATGACACTGATACAAAGTGCAGATGCAAGCTGTGGCTGTTAATTGTGTCTGTCTGCAGGATCGCCTGGCTTTTATGTTTTATTTTTGAATACTGTGGTTTCAGTTGTTTTTGCCTTGGTGAGGTGAGAATTATGTTGCAGAATAACTGGTTGATTTAAAATTCTTTGAACTAATTTGAATTGTGGAAGCAGGCTTCTTTGCTAATTCTTTTTACTGTTTTCTTTGACTTGTGTAATCTGACCACATTTTTACTTTATCAGGTGTTTGTTTGCTTGTGGAAAGGTTGCAAAGTATATAATACACCTTCAACAAGTCAAAGTTGGTTGCAGAGACATATGCTGACACACAGTGGGGACAAACCTTTCAAGGTAAGGTTCATAGCAAGGTATATTATGCTTTATTTTAAGAGCAATCCTATTCATTTTTCCTTACAAAATGCATTAATTGAAAAATGCTGTCACAGGAAGACTTGTTAAAACTTATCAAGTGAGGTAAACGTGCACTTTTAACATGATAGTGCCCAAAGATTCTGCTCTGTTATGAAGCGCAAATGAAGATATTGTTATTGCTGCTCTGTCCCTGTTCTTTTTAACCTGAAAATGGTAGGGTAATCTGAAGTAAAATAATGCTTTCATTCAGTTTCTTGTGCTTTTCCAAGTTGAGCTGTTTACAGTGTAACAGTGAGATGCTTTGCCTTGTGCTTAACACTTCGGATGATGCCTGACGGTGCACATTCTGTGCTTGAATGAGCTGTTTTTGTTAACAATATTCAGTTGAAACAATCAGTGTCTGTGTGTGGTTAACTTCTCTGAGAATAATAAGGAAGTCAGGAATGCAGGACCGTTGAGCTGACTGTATTTCCTGCATAGTATTTTCTAACTTTCTCTTTCTTTTTCCCCCTAATCTGTACCTGCTTTTCTAGGTATAGTAATGTTTATCATTCCCATATCCACCAATCCGTTATTAATGAGTTGCTTCATCCTCTTATGGATACAGTTGGGGCAGTTCATAGCTGTCAGTCCTGGATCACTTGATGGTAAGTCTCACCCACACTACTTCAGATTGAAGTTCTTCCATCTAGGATTTGAAAACTGAATGAGGGTGGTTTTTTTATTTATTAAATCTAGGTAGCATTTTATACCTCTCTTCCCCTTCCTTGCTCCAACCCATCAGGTTTTAGTCACTGCTTCTCCACTTCTTTTTTCTGTCTTCTCACATAACATCATCTACTTTTTTTTAATTTTAGGGCAGTTTTATTACTAAAAAGTACTTTTCTGTTAGAGTGACCTCTTTGAGAAGTTACTGCTTCTGCACAGCTTCTTATAGTAGCTATAGCAAAAAACTATACTCAAAACCTAGAGAGTAAAAATAGTTCAGTGCAAGTGAAAGCGTTTTTTTTTTTTTAAAGATATTATATATATATTTATTAATTTTTTCCCCTTCCAAACTGCTTAATTTAGTCTGAACATTTCTCTCAGAGTGGACGGCAGGAAGGAAATTCTGTTCTTGAGTTGATTGTTTTCTTTGTTCAAAGGAATTAAGTTAGAATCATAGTGTAAGGATCATAGATCTCTGAAAGAAGATTTCAGGTATGATTGTTCCAGTAACTGATCTAATCATAATTGCAAATCCTTGAATCAACTTGAAAATGAGTAATTGGGGGAAACTTTTACCTTCTTTCTTCTCATTTTAGAACTAAGGATGTACGTTAGAGTGCAGTGGCAGTTTTCTGTCTTATAGACAAGTCTTCCACTAGGTTTCAACACTTGCTTGTTACAGATCAAAGAAACTAAATTTAGAGGTATTGAGTTTAAAAGAGAAGAACATGTGTCAGGAAAAAAGAGTACTTCTTGAATCTTGGGAGAGTTATCTAGCCCAGTGAGTAAAACTAACATCCCAGTGTTTGTTTGTTTTTTTATTTTTTTTAAAAATATATATTTTTTTGGCTAGCCTCTTTAAAGCTAAAGCCCTCCAATTTCAAACAGTTGGTTCTGATAATAAACATCTTGTGTTAAGTGTGGATTATTTCCCCAGCTAGTTTTGCCTGGTCACACTTGGGGAAAGAATAAAGCGTAGGCTAGGATTGCAGTAGTTTATTGTTGTGGCTCGAAGTGTGCCATTTCCTTTTTTTCCCTACCATTGTCTTCAGTGTTTCTGTTTGTTTTTTATCTTTATATTTTCAAATCTGTTCCTGGGAGCTTTGGATGGAAGATAATTGTGGTGTGAATTTTAGTAAAACTCTTTTGTTGCCCAATTCATTTATGATGAGTATAGTCCTCAGAGCCCACATGATGTGATTATGGTAACCTGTTAGTTATCTAGTCTCATTTCTTCCTCGATTCTTACTTTTTCAAGCTTTTGAAATCTGTCTGATAAAAAAATCACTTAAGAAATAACACTCAACAGGATCAGTTGTTGCTTTATGTCAGTTCAAGAACAAAATGTTTTTGCATTTAGCTGTTCTTGTAAATCTTAATTCCTCAGATTTCTAGCAGAAGCAGAGTTTTTCACTTCAGAGTTGTATTGAAGACCTTGTTCTTGATTATCTAAATAAAAAACCCTAAATTAATAATAAAAAAAAAATCTGTTGCTTTGTAAGGTTACACTGGAGTTATAGTTTAAAGGAAGGAATCATTATCAGTTTAGAGGACTCAGTATCTTTTGTTAATAAATAAACACCAGAATTTGTGTGGACTTTGCTTAGAAGGTAGTGCAAATGACAGCTTGGTGCTGTTGTCTGAAGAACTGTTCAGGATGGTTTTAAGAAAGGCAAAGGATGTTATCTAGGGAGGTGATGATAAAATGCAGAGAAAATTTACTTTTGCAAAGATATGAGAAATCTATAATTGTTTAATGAAGATTGGAGATTAATAAATATATGGCAGGTTGCTGTGTTCCTTCATCTCTAGTCAAAGAAGGGACAAAAATATTAAATTGGAAAGCAGTTGGGCATTGACTGAAGCATAAAGCTGCCTTTGCAGGTCTATTCAGTTGAAGGATACATCCCCTTCCTGCCTACCTTTTGCCTGCAAATGAATTCATTTTATGTAGTTGCCCATTGTGGATTTAATTCCCTCTTTTTGTGGTGCCTGTAACACTGTCCTTTGATTTAAAAGCTGTGTTCTGCTGTGAATGAGCTGCTGTGCTTCCATTTTAAGTTCTTTGTGGGTTTACCTGCCCTGTCCATGTATGCTTATAAACTATCTGACTGTGTGGTTCATTTGTCACTGAAATGAACCCTTTTATAGATTACAGAGGCAGTTGTTTCATAAGTTCCTCCTGTGGTTTATGTTTGTGTGGTTTAGTGTGAACACCTGAATACTGCAGTAGCCACTGTCATGGGAAAGTTACATTTGCTTATAAATACCTATTTTTGAGATTATATTAGCTCAATTTTTTTTTTTATATGGAACAACTTCCTAGTAGCATATGTACATTTACTAAGTAGGAGATATTTTACATCTTACTCATCTGCTAAATTAATGCAAAAATAATATTCTAGATCTTTAGGATAGAACTCTGGACCTCAGTTCCTCTCTAGTCCTAGAATTTCTTTGTTTTTCTGTTTCATTTCCTCGCCAGTTTTTGATACTGGATGGATTTGTATTTTTGAAGCAGTCATCACTGATTTGTTGTTTAGAAAACATTCTCTCTCAGGGTAAACATGATTCCCCCCAAGGCAAAAGTGTGTCAGATAAATGAGGCATTTACCATTGTAGCTAGTTCTCAGGGTGTAATCAGATATTTCTGCAAAGCTGTGTACTTCTTTAATCATATTTTTGGCAAGCACTGTTCCCAAATTTGTTACTCTTGTCAAGAGGAGCAGAAGGACTGGTCTACCAGAACTTAACTGGTTGCCTATGGCCTGTTGTTAGGCACTACTCTTCCTAGTACCTGAAGTTGTTTGCTTTTGTGTTGCTGGGAGTTTTCTCTTAGCTAGAACCAGACTTCTATAAGCAATTCCTTCAGTCTTTTTGTTGTTGTAGGCATTCGTTTAATACAAGCATGTATTTATTTCTCTGAAGACTTTTAGTATGTTCACGTTTGTGTTTTGTTTTATATCTAGAGTTGAAAGAGAAATACAAACATTCTTTAGCTCTATACTTGCGTAATTTTTGCTTCTTTTGGGTGGAACATCAGGAATATCATTGTATAGTAGAGGTCCTGTCTTAAGTTCAGCAACTTAAACTTTTAGGCTTTCAGAACATACAGATGGAATTAGAGGAACAGTCTGAGTTAGAAAATTGATGCTGGTAACTTTTTGGCAAGCTAAGGAGGAATTGTCTTAAACTTGACTGTTTTAAATAAATAGTTGAATAGTTATTGTGCTATGGCACTGTACTGGTACTTAAACTTTTGAACCACTATTTGCTGCCGTAGAAGGCATTGCAATTTACTTGTAGACATACCAAAAGAACTCTTAGCATGTAACGTAGATGTATAAATAAAAAGTGTTAGGCACAGTGAAAGATCAAATGGGAAAATGAGCTCAAATGTGTGGAAGATTTTAAGCAAAATAATTGCTCAAAGCAATCCTCCATAAGTACAAGACTGTGTGGGTATGATACCAGCTGCTTTCACATACTGAATCTAGTGGGTGTGCTCTTAATGTTTAAGATCAGTCATGCAGGGTTTGCTCACAGGGTGAACGCTTCCTGCAGCAACATCAAATGACAGTACAGAAATTTATTTCAGGGTTCTGTTCTTTGCTTAAAAAGAAAATAAATAAAAAGGGGAGTGGGGGGGGGTGGGGAAGTAATAATAAAACAGAACCCTGGTGCTCATTCTACCAGCTGACTTCACAACTCATTACGGAGTAAATTAACTTAATGTGACTCTTAATAGAGTAACATATTGTTGAAATCTGGAAAGCAAAACCAAGTAAATTCAGTTGTCATTTGGAATTCATATTGACTATTCTTTCGGCAGCGTATCCTCTATTCACTAGGACACTGCAGGCGCAGATAAAAACTGTAAAGATATTCTGCTTTAGTGCTCAAATGATGAGATAGTAGAGATTGTCCAGATGTCTAAAATATTAATATTGAATTTGTTGAAAAAATTTCACATTGAATATTTTTTAAAAGGGCATTTGATTATTTTGAACTTGAGTAAAAAAAAATTACTGCTAGATACTTCAATGTCTTGTTTAAAGTCCCTGGTCACTGTTGCCCATTAATAATGGTGGGTATGGGTACACTGGAGAAATTAAACTTCTTACGTGTTGACTTATTTTCTCTTGAAGTAACATATCCACCAATCCGGACCCAACCTATCATATTGCAAATTTAATGCAAAATTTTCAGATAAAAGTTTTTGGGGAAAAAACTAAGAGTCTGCTGTAAAGTTGTGCATAGTAGTTGAGTTTGATTTATTAGAAGCCCTCTAGATCTGTATAATTATCTGGTGGGAAGCTGATTTGGTGTGACTTACCGTCCAGAGATCCTGAAGTGACAGCCTGAACTGCTCCTTTATCTTTGGAGAGAAGAGACTTTATCCATTAGTAACGGATTGCTGGATATATTATTTTAGAGAAAAAAAGAAAAAAAACAGGTAAGAATTTTTTTCTCCTCTTCTATTGTCTTCTGTCCACTACAAAGACATTTGTTGTCGTCTTTGATATATCAGTTGTTGATTATTTGATGATACGATCTGATAGTGTTAAACTCTTCAGCATGTGAATGTGATGATCTTTGCAAACATTTCATGCTGAGGCTGCAGACTGTAAGTAGTCTTTCTAGAAAAAGGTAATTGCCAGTTGCAGTGTGCATATTGTGAGGACTTAATGTTTGGGCTTTTAAAAGTCAACCTTGGGTAGAACAAGAGTAATAGTTTCTATAGTGAATCTGTGTTGATCATCTGTGTTTGTGTTTCTTCTGCACTAGAGAAAACCAAGGTTTTGACACTGTGGGTCAAATCATAGTCAGTCATAAGACTGTGCTTTTTGTTTATCAAGACATAGCACAAAGTCTTACCAACTTGTGTTTTAAAATGTTTTAGAATTGTGCCACTGCTATATTTGTATATTCAGAAGGTGTTGCTTTTGGATACTGCACTTGAATAAGTGGTAATAACTGCATTATACCAAGACATCAAGTTGTTTCTGACCTCCAGGAGGCCTTGGAAAGATTGAACTATTAATTTCCTATTGTGTGGTTGTACTTAAGGATATAGCCTTAATTTATGCCCATTTTCTTTTTGTTAGTGCTTGTGGGATCAGAAGGAGCTAGAAGCTTGGCAGTAGCACCTTAATGAAAGTTTAACTTAAGTTTAGATTTAGTTGCTTAGTGTAGTTTTGTGGAACTGATTTTGTGAGTGAGTGAGCAGATGCTTCAAGGACTTCAGAACAAGAGAATAAAAAAATTGGTCAAACTAATACACACATTTTATCTGTATCTATGAATTGAGTTTGTTCATCTCTAATATGATGAACTTTTTGTCTTCAGTATTTGCTGTAATGTTACACTGAAGTTCCCATCTTGTAAATGAGATAAGAATGCTTTGTATTGTTCTGAATATGAATGTGCTCTGATTTCTTATTGTAAGTCATTACAGTATAAATGTACAATATCGTTGTTGTTTGAACTTGGGTAATTACAGAGCAAGGAGGTAAGTTTTTGTTAGAGATCACCACATCTCTTGAGATGCTTATTAGTGGAGGAGATGGGGAGAATCACATATGTTGTCCTAAAGCTTTTTGTCAGGGAATTACACGGTTTTAGTTAGCTCAGAAAGTAGCAAGCTTAAAGGAGTTTTTCTAAAAATCATGTAAATAAAAATACTAAGAACATCCTCCTATTCTTGTTTTTTATTGTCATGTAATCTTGTATTCCTGTAGCAAGTATGAAGTCAGTGGGATAACATTTCTCTTTATGAAGACGATATTTCTCTTTTATAATAATAAGTTTGCTAGGTCTGAGGCAGGGATAGACATTTCAGGTTGTTTTTTTTTTAACAGCCACAGTTGGGAAACAGCGCAGCTGGGTGTTAGGAACAAAGCATGCTGAGTGGTATTCTGCTGCTGTCATCTTATCTTTCAGTCAAACGTGCAGGCTTGGGACAGATTACTTTGAGCTTGCAAATTCTTCTTTAGTCCTCAGAGAAAAGTTAGTAATGTGTATGTAGTTGCACCATTACTTGTTGCTGAACTGCTGTTGCAGCTGCCACATCAGTTTGCAGTGGAGGGAAGAGATGATGCACACTTCTGTGCAGCTCATGATGGAATGTTTATGTTTTCTTTCACCCTTGTAAGCTCAGAGCACAAAAGAAAAGGTTTGTGCCTCCCACTCCAACTATATGATTTACTGAATGTAAATATAAACCAAATACAAAAATACTAATAGTTATTGTGGACATTACTAGCTTAGTCTTATGTATCTTGTGATTTCTATATTTCTCTTAGTCAATATTGGAGCTCATCTTATTTTTCTGTTTCAAAGAAAATGGCATCTTTTTGTTAAGTACTTCTGAAGTAATTATTACCATCCCAAAATAAACATGTGTAGTGTTAATAAATTTTTCCAGTTACTGACATTAGTTTTAGACAAGTGAAATATAATGATTGACCTTGTATAGCATTTATAAAAAGTGCTGTGTCAAATTTCATGTGGATATGGATGTATTTTTTTTATTTGAAGAAATTTACTTTGTCAACAGAAAGAGGGAGGTTATAGAACGCTAATGTATTGAATACAGGAGACTGTAGAACTGTGGGGTAATACAGAGTAACAGTGCTATGTTTCAAAAGGCAAGGGGATATAATGGTGGTCTGTAGGGGAAATGGTCTTCTGTTGTGCTTTTCTATGAAAAGAATTGTTCAGTGCATTGTTCAAGATAAACTTTCTTCTAAACAATGCTGTAGAATATAATAAAGCATTTTAAAAAGTGATTGCACCATGAAATAACTGTTATAAGTTGCAAAGTTCAAATGGGAATTTGAGATGCTTTTGTTTCTGTTTTTAGAATCGCATGGTCATTAAGAGTTTCTTCTTTCTTTTAATGTGTTGGAGGTTGAGCCAAAAAAAGCAAATTGAAAGATCTAAGAAACCTCTGTGAATGACTGCCATGCAGTGCTCTGATGCAGTTGTTTCATTTTCCTCTCTTATTAGTGTGTGGTTGGTGGGTGCAATGCCAGCTTTGCATCTCAGGGAGGACTTGCCCGTCATGTGCCCACACACTTCAGCCAGCAAAACTCTTCAAAAGTTGCCAGTCAGCCAAAGGCCAAAGAAGAATCTCCATCTAAAGCTGGAATGAATAAAAGAAGAAAGTTAAAGAATAAGAGACGGCGATCATTACGTAAGTATTTCTGGACATTTTTATATCCACAACAGCACGTTTCATTAACTTAATGACATAACGAGTGTAGCCAAGATTTAGTTTTGGGAAGAGTTGATTTGCTGTATTCTTTCTTTCTCTATGCAGTTGAGGTTTTTCAATTTAATATGAACCTATGTTATTTGAAGTATGATTTGTTATTTAAGGTGAGAATTATTTCCTCTAGCAATGATAGACTTGGTAGACTTAGGCATTCCCAAAGGACGTATAAGCAAATTATATTATTAAATGCATCTTAGATGTAAATATCAAGATCTCCTCTAGTTTTGAAACTGGTTAAAAGTTCATAGAAGTTAGAATGTCATTTCTGTCTTCCTCAGACTGTGACTTGAAAAGTTTTCACTTTTAACAATTTGCATAAATTAGAAGGTTCAAAAAGGGAAGGCTGATTGATGAAGAATTAAGTGGTCACTTTGCAGTATTCTTTTAGTTCAACTTAATTGTAAGGAAGGGCTCGTTTGAAGTATGTGCAGGTTCACAGAAGATTGTTTTGTTTTGTTGACTATGTTATTCAAACAAAATACAGATGTCTAAGACTGATCATTCCAAATTAATTCACTTTCAGAGATTTGCAAGTTGTGTTTTAGTTTGTGTGATTATCTATATTAGTTCTTTTAGTTGACTGATTTAATACATCTTTATTCAGTGTCTCCCTCAATATATGTAGAAGTAGAATGCAGTTTGGCATTTTATTTGTAATTTATGTATGCTGTTGACTTAAAATTTCAAGTTGTAGTTAGGGCTTCAAAAGATGGCCCAGTCATAATACGAGAATAGACTGCAGAATTTGTTCTGCAGGCATGCACAAAGTCATCTTCGTGGAGTAGTGGGGGAAGTAAATAGAAAGTTTTTGAATGAATCCATGGCAAAGAGGTGTAATTGGTTTTTGACATTTCAGGGATATTTACTCAACTGCAGAACTTGAATAGTGTGTTCTCTTAATCAAGTGTTGCACAAAAAGAAAAATGACAGCTGCTTGAGTAGCTTTTTTTTTGGTCTTGTTACCTCTAGAGACAAACACAGCGGTGGCTGTATGGTTTTGCCTTAAGGCAAAAGTCATCTCTAACAGAATTGGGAAATGACTATTTAATGTATTGCTCTGGGGAGTATGTGACCCAGAAATGTATCCAAAGTTGATGACATTTTCTGACAATGTTGAATAGCGGTAGCTTTTCTTTAAAACTTGCTGAGGATTATCACTGATTTGGTGAACTTGCTCATCTGGAAGTTTCTTAATTTAGCATTAGTTCAGATTTAGAAGAAGAGAGGGCAAGAAGACTTACCTGAAATGCCAAAGCAACAAAATAGGCTGGTGAAGTATTTCCAGGCTAGAGTATGTGAAGCTAGGAGTGAAGTCGTTTTTACTTAGGTATTTTTAAAAGGAGAGGTGCTTTACTTCTGTACTGTTTTGTCTGCAAACGGGGTTATAAGGTATGACAAATAAATACAGTACAGGGTGCTTTTCACTACTCTGCAGTTTTTAAATTAAATTCGCAATTAGTCATTTGTTGAAAAAACTGTCAGGTAATTTTCTCCTGAAAAAATGCTGTCAGAATCTCTCAGTGGTTTGAGACCCTGAAATGTTTGCAGTGTGTAAATGGATTAGTATTTATTGACAGTTGATTGTCAATACATGCTGAAACTGAAGTATACCTACATAGAAATTAAAGGTTCAAATGCAGCAAAACAATTAAGTTCCTTCATTTTTATAGACTTGTTTTATCTCTGAAGTTCATCACCCTTCTGAGAGACATTCAAGCTAATAAAAAAAAAAAAAGAACAACTTAACTGTAGCTTTATTGTGATAAGTATATGGTCTTGTATCTTAAAAGAGAGTTCAGACTGTCAATATGTAATCTTTTTCTTTCTTTCTTAACACCTTGGTATTCTTTTTGTCTGTAAGCAACGTGTACTTTTAAGTTTAGAAATTTGTGCCTTTATGATAAAAGCGTGTTTTTGCTATGCACACCTTCATAGCTGTTTACATTAGTGTGTAAAAAATGACTGATTTTTATCATACAAATTTTGATGTTGCAGAATAATTCAGGATCACAGTAGCTTTCTTTCTCTTCTAGATGCCCTTAATCATATTAATTGTTGCAGGAAGTCAGTCACTTAGAGATATAAAGCCAAATATATTTAACGTGTCTCTGAATTACAGCATTGTTATTCTGAAGCTACTTCAGTGACTTTTGAAGAACCTAAGATTTTATGTATTTGCTTCTCGAGTAGAAAAGATGACATACTTATTAACAGCCATAACAGTTTAAGTTTACTGGAAAGATACATGAGATGTGGAAACTTACTGTTGGTGAAATTTACATTGGGAATGTATCAGTTACGTAAGATTTAGCGTTTCATTTAGTAGGTTGCTGGTCAGAAGATTTTCATTCACTTAAGTAGGTGGAGTGTATGTGAAACTTAATGGTATTACGTAAGAAGGGAGACATCTTGGTCCAAAAATTACTCTAATATTTAATAGATTTAAGAGGAGCTGAAAATATGGGATTAATGCTCTATAAAGAATTAATAAAACTGTTCATATGCGTTTTACAAGTTGTTCCCTTTACTCTGCAGTCATTGAGTGTTATCTAGGGCTAAATCCTGAACAAATGTTGCTATGTAAAACAAAAAGCAAAATTTTGGTATTGACTTTCTGTTCTCCCCTGTTGGCTTTTTGTTCCGTGGCTGCTCTGGACATTGCTTTTGAGGTATGGATGGGAAGTAAACTTCTTTTTGAAAGATGTACCTGGGTAGAGCTCCTCCTGCAGTAGGTGATGAGAAGACTGTACAGTATCAGGAAAGCTGAGGAGGAGAGAGATAGGTCTGCAGTGAGCTCCCCTCAAAGGAGATGATACTGAAAACAGAGGAATGGAAGCTTGGCATGATAAGGTGGAGGGAGAGCTTTTCCCCACTGCGTGAAGTGCACTTGCAGAGCTGCTAGACTTCAGAGGAAGGACCTGTCGTGTCAGGGGAGATGCAGGTGTTAAATGAACCAACATAGTCTGTTCCCATGATCAGTCCACCCAAGAAACAGCAGTGGATGATATCAGGAGGAGACTTTTTCCTTTGTGAAGCAGAGGTGCCCGTTTGCTGACCTGGCCTGGCCTACTCTCAAGAGGTTTGTTGCCGGCTAGATATGTTGCCAAGAAACTACTGAGTCTTCTGTAGTCCACTGTTCTCCACAGCTGTTATTTCATGTGGGCACCAAAAATACTCAGGGGTGGTCCAAGGCATATCTTGGAGGACTATGGGGTCCTTGGAGCAGCTCTAAGAGACTCTGGACAGATGGTCTTCTTTGATTCTGCTGGTCAAATGAAAAGGCTTTGACATGATCAGTTCAGCCCTGTTGAATTGATCAGTTTTTTGTGTTTTACCTACAGATTTGGCTGGTCAGCTGGAAAACACCCAAAAAGCAGCCCAAAGGAATTCCAGCCATTTTGTCCAATAGAACAGTTTCACTAGGAGCCCTGCTTAAGTGCCTCTATGCAAATGCAGAGAGCTTGGAAAAGAAAGAGGAGCTGAAAGTTTTAGTTGAGTCTCAGGGCTGTGATATCCTTCCACCATGTCTCTTTGAGGCCTGTGATAATTCATGTGCCTGGAGAATTTGGTGCTCTTGAGGAGAGACTACAGGGAAGGAGATGAAGTGGGGTAGCCGTGTGTGTTAGGGAGTACTGTGGCTGCATAGAGTTGGGTAATGGTACTGAAAGGGTTGATTCTTTCAGGGGTAAAGGCCAGTAACGGTGATAATATGGTGAGAGTCTGTTATAGACCTCCCAACCAGGATGAAGGCAGGAAATATTCTACAAGCAAGTACAGGAAATCTCATGCTGGTTAGAATTGTTCTCGTGGGGCATTTTTACTTCCCAGATGTCTGTTTAAAATCCAGTTGAGATTCCTGGAGTGTGTGGATGACTGCCTGACACAGGTGGTGAGGATGCCCAATAGGGAGAATGCCTCACTTAATGTGTGTGTGTGTGTGTGTGTGTGTGTGTGTGTGTGTGTGTGTGTGTGTGCAAACAGGGAAGGGTGATGTGGGTGATGTGATGGTTGGGGGCTAGCTTGGACACAACAATGATGAAATCCCTGATTTTGATCCTTGGTGAAGTCAGTAAGGTGATTAACAGTATTGATACCTTGGATTTTTAGAAGGCAGAGTAGGATGACACCTGAAAGTACAGAAGCAGTCTGACCCAATGTGCTGAAAGTCAAGCAAGGAGGGGAGATGAATCTGGCTGAGCAGAGAGCTGCTTCTGCAACTCAGGAAGAAAAAAAAAAAAAAAAGAGCTCTGGAAGAAGATGCAGACATCTCAGGAGGACTGTAGATGTTGTTAAGCTGTGCAGGAAGAAAATTAGAATGGCCAAAACCCACATGGAACTCAATTTGATTATTGGAGTGAAAGATGATGAGATGATAATGCTTTTATAAATACATCAAGAGTAAAAAGAAGATTAAAGTGAATCTCCAGCCTTTATTGGATCTGAGAGAAAGTGTTGTGATGAAAGATGAGGATAAGGCTTGAATTACTTAATGCCTTTTTTGCTTCAGTCTCTGTTAGTAAGGTCAGTTGTTCTCAGGCTACCCAACCCCTTCTGTTGGAAGACTGATGAAGTCCCTATAGCCAACTGAGAAACTGCATGTGCCTTCCTACAAGGTTTGAATGTTCCTAAGACAATGAGGCTGGATAGAATTCATTTTGGCACTCTGATGGAACTGGCCATAGTGCTCACCTTGCCATTTTCCATAATTTATCAGCAGTCATGATAAACTGGTAAGGTTCCAGTTATATGGAAGTTAGCAAACGTGACTTCAATCTGCAAGAAGTGAGGGAAGGAGGATCTGGGGAATTACAGACCTGTCAGTCTGGTTTAAGTGTTAGGAGAAGTTACAGGGCAGATTAACCTAAGTATAATCACATGGGACGTATAGGACAGTCAAGTGATCAGAAGCAGCTAGCCTGTGTTTATGAGGGGCAGGTTCTGTCTGAGTAGTCTGGTCTCCTTCTACAACAAGATGACCCACCAAGTATGTGAGGTAGAGGCTGTGGATACTGTTTACCTGAATTTTAGTCAAGAATTCTAGTTGGTGCCAAACTGACAGCACTTCCCAGCAAAGCAGCCCAGCCCAGCCCCAGCCCAGGTGTGCACCCATCGAGGTGTTCAGGATGAGCCACATTTCTAGCTTAGCTGGCCTGTCTGTGAGGTGTGGTTTGGACATGACTGGGATACAGTTTTATAATGGTATTTGGTAGGTCAGGATGATGATTAGACTTGCCTTAATGGTCTTTTCCAACCAAGAGGATTCTATGAACTATATGTTATACTAAGTATGCTACACCGTATAACTTCTTGTATTATCGAATCTTTGTTATAAATTCACAAACATTTGTTTTATAAATATGAGTGAAGCTCCAAAAAAGTTTCTGACATTTGGTACAACAAACTGCCTAAATCAGCAATTGAATTTTGTCTGTAGAGATCTTCACAATTTCAGATCAAAGTAAGATAGGCTTTTTGTCTTTCAGGGATAGAAGAAAAGGGTGGAGGGATACCTGTTGTAAAATGCTTGACGTTTGAAGTTTCATATATCATACCTTTTACTGCTTAGATCTTAGTAGTAATAATGAAATGTGAATCTTGAGTCTGTGTTTTTCTTGAGTCTGTTGCTACGTGTAGTCTTTTGTTTTTCCTGAAAACTTTAGTTTGTATGAAGAAAGAGAAGTGTTAGTCCGTGCAGAAAAATGTGACCCATGCTCCTTTTTACTTCATAGATTAATGGTTTCAATATAAGAAATGCTTGCATCAGTGACCTTATGCAGCGTGAGAAGTTACCGCTTACAGCAAAACATTTCAGTAGGGTGATTGCCTAATTGGCAGTATCCAACTGAGATAGAATAAGGGCAGAACGTAATGTACAGATGAATACCTAACAACAGTTTGTCCCCAGAGTGTGGAAAATACTAATCTAAAGTGGAATCTGTAGTTTGTCTAGAAATAATGGATAATCATGATGAAAGGGAAGGTACAAGTTGTTTTAATTCAGGACAGAAAAATTGGAAATAACTGTTTTTTGCAGATTATAGGATAATGTAGTTGATTGTGTAGTTTAACTACGATTCTTAGTTTTATTTTCAGCTTTATATACTGAATTACTGCTTTCACATAAGATTTAGTAACTCTTAATACTTTTATTAATATATTACTCACGTAGTTCTGCTACGGAATGGTACAGAATATATTTAAAAATGTTAGATATTTTGAAGAGCATACAAGAAATATGTGCTTAGTAGCAGTTATTTCTGGCTAGAGTGGGTTTTAGGGTAGAGTTAATAGACCTTCTTTACACTCTAAATTGGATTTCAGTATTTTAGTATTCAAGACTTATCCATAAAAGTGCTTTTCAGAATAAAAAAGGACTTTACTATGCATGCTGTTTATAGACTACAAATTCTTATTTAATTCTGCTTGCAGAGGAACTATTCAAAGTGTTTGTTCTCCTTACAGCATCTCAGTATTCAGCTAGATTACTTTTTTTAGCAATTGGAAATTAGATCAGGGCAAGTGGTTTGTAATAAACTTTAGAAATAAGGTGTCTTCTAACATGTTGACTGCGTGCACTGTCATGTTTTGAAATATTTTAATACTGTCTTTTAAAAGTCATTGCAGTAATACTGAAATTATTGACTGTGCTGTAAGGGTACCTTGGCCAGTTAGTTGTAAAGTTTATGGGAAATTTATTGGGCTGTTTTAGCATTAAAAAGGAACTCAAATTCATTAATAAAAGTTCTTTTTTCCTGTTCCTTTGCACTGGGCCACCTTTTTGGTGTTTACGTTTTTTTTAGAAATGGTAGCAATAGATCTTAGAAAAAACAATGAATTTTTAATTGTGGAAGATAAGGAAAAAAAATCACTTTAAGGTTAAAAACTGAGCAGGTGTAATTCAGTTTGTCAAAATAGCTACTTCATCTAAAGGGAATATGTTGTGACCACTCTGTGTTTGGAGTGAAGCCATTCTCTCAGTTAAATTACTGTTTGCAACTCTGATGTAGGAGCCCTAGTTTTATAAAGATAAATGGTCTGCTAATGGCACTTCAGATTTATTTACGTGCTCAAATCTGTTAGAATGCTTTCAGCAGGTTCAACACTAAGGATGTCTTTTATTTCTAGCAAGACCTCATGACTTCTTTGATGCACAAACACTGGATGCTATAAGACATCGAGCCATCTGCTTTAACCTCTCAGCGCATATAGAAAGCTTAGGAAAAGGCCACAGTGTTGTATTTCACAGTACTGTAAGTATTACTTTGTTCACTGTTTGTTACCTGCATCTCTGAAAAATGTAGTGCTGTATTCCTCTTTGTAATATGGCTTTTAATCGGTAACCATTGATTGCTTTTGAATAGTTGTTTATTCACTTCTGTTAGTAAATAAGTTTTTTAAAAATACTAGTAGTAGTTGGTTTTTTGTTTCAAATTGAAAAGCTTGCAATGTTTCCCCATCTGATACACTTGGGGAAATATCTGGCAGGCAGTATGTGTTACAGAAAGCATTGTAAATAAGAATGAATTCTGGTGACACTTTCTCAAGTTACAGTTTGCAGTATTTATTGCAAGGAAGACTTTGAGGATAATTGTATAACTGATAGATGTCATTCATGTGAAATTCATTTTTTTTTTTTTTAGTTGAAAAGATGGAATACCCAATAAATGCATTGTTCATTTCTTTTTTTAAATAATAATAATAATAAAAACCTTCCCAATGAAATACCATTGAATTGCTAGGAGGCAAGTACCAGGTGGGGAAGTAACCTTGAGTCCTGTTTCTGTATCCTGCTGTGGATGGATTGACATCAGTATTTGTTTAGAAAAATTGAAAATAGAGAAAGAAGTACTGAATTTGAATACAGGGATGAGAATTTCAAAAGGCATAATGCCTCATGTTTTGTTACTGAATTGAGAGATGGAATGCATAAGAGGGTAGAGACACTTCTTTAAGAATAAAAGAATTAAGGAACAGCACAAAATGAAGAACTTTGTAAATTGCCAGACTAGTGCAAGATTAACTGCAGTCCAGGGAAGGAGTGCTGACTGCTCTCTTTTCAACTATGACTTAATTTGAACCAACAATTAAACTATTGAACTGTCATTCTTTTTTCATAAACAAAAGATGATTTTATATGCATGGAACTTAGCATTTCCTTCTCTTGTACAAAACTGATGATAATTACAAATCTGTATCCTGTTAGACGTTCTTCCCAAAATGTTAGTCCTGAACTTTATCTGCATTGAGCACACCAGCTGTGGAGGGAGATTTATAGGTGCCTTATTCTGCTGCTGCTGAATTTAAACCTTATTTTAGTTTTCCTGGCCAAGACTGAATGTAAAACTTTGTGAGAAAAGCAGGTTGTCTTGCAGTTCACAGCTTGCTTTAATCTGCAGCGTTATCCAGATAGACTGTTAAGTTGTGGACGCTCACTTCTAGCTGTTGCAGTAATTCATAAGGAGGTGGAATAAAAGAGAGGAATGTGCTCTTTAACTGATCTGAATTAACTTGGAGGAAGTACTGCAAAGCTTTTCAGTTCATCTGTGCTTGTACCACTCAAGATGATGGGGGGTTGATTAGGTGTGAAAACTTGATATTATTTAAACCTCAGCTGTAGGAGTTGTTTCAGCGGCAGGACTGTTCTAAGATTCCAGCTGCACACTGCACGCCCTGTTAACATGCACAGCTGTGCAGAGTTGCACCGGACATCAGCTTTACTGATGAGATTGTTTAATATAAGGAAGATAATCTTGTTGTAGGTATACATTATTATACTGAGCTAATGGTCACCTCAGGTGCAAGTAAGGATGGAAGTGGAAAAGTGGGATGTGGTTTCCGTGGTCCACCTTCAGATGAAAAACATGTATAGTTAACAGGGACATGAATTTCAAAAGTGAAAAATTTGATCATAAGACTTCTGGAATCTGAGGAATTTATAGGTTTATTTCTTGATTCATTATAAGAACATCAGCATAGAGTAGTGTTTTACAGGATAGTTACCTTACTGAAAAAAATAATAACACGAAGCTTTTCTATGCAGTCACTGTATCTCTTCATGAAACCTTTAAATCTTCTTCATAGACGTGTAAAATTGTAAAACAACCATCAAAGCCTTTTGTGGAAGTCTGCCTTTGACTTCATTATGTTCTTATTTCTCTGATTAGTTTTCCTTATTGCAGTCAAATTCTTGGTATGTTGATTCTTTGCACTATCAAGTGGAAAAAGTCAATCAATTTCTCTTCAACTTAAAGAGCAGGTATTAGATTTTTTTTAAGAACGTACCTGGCCTATTACCCTCTGTCTTTATTGTTGATAGGGTTAGTTCTCTAAGGTAACTGAGTACTAAACTGTTCTTTATATTTCTAACTTTTTTTGGAGATTTTAGTTCAGCAATGGCATACGCTGATTTTGTTTACACGTGTTTTGAAGTTGTAAGCCTCTTAAACACAATAGCTGAATAAACATGCAGGAGAGACATTTGTTTCTTTTTCCAGAAGAGGTCAGTAGAACTCCATTTCTGATCTGAGACAACTTGAAAGGTTTCCTTTACAGAAATAAATACAAAGAAATGTTTCCTGTTCCAGGGACTGTGTGTGAAATGTAGATAATTAGTAAGATTTTCTTTTGTTCAAATGAAGCTGTATTGTACATGCGTTCACTTGTTGAACTATACTTTTTAGTGTGAAATGTAAGTTATTACATAAGTGTACACATTTCCTAAGTGACTTTTAGTCTTCAGAACAACTTTAAGTCTTTAAATCTTTCCGTTTTGCTTGTAATATGCAGATTTGGCCTTAATGCTGTGGATATTTTACTCAAAATAGTGATTCTTTTCTTTTTTTAGTCTATGTTCGTTGTCTGTATCGTGACTGTATTTCTGACTCAAGCCTGCCTGGGAAGTGGTAGAATGTTTGTTGTGCTAATTGTGGTAAAAGTAGTGGATACATTTTAAGTCTTTTTAAAACACATCTTTAAACTTGAGAATTTCAAAATACATTTGGGAAGAACCAAGGCATGGATATATGCAGATTGCTGTTGTCTCCTAACAGAAAGCTGACTTAGTACTTGAATGTTAAACAAAACCAGATGTGTACCCTTTAAGGGATGAAGATCTTCGATCCCATACAAAAACATGTGAATTGCTGAGCTTTTGAGGATTTCCAGAGGACAAGATAAGACAGTGATGTGAAAAACAGTCTGCAAAACTTGCATTGGTTCCAAGTGTATCTGAGTGAAAGCGTCCCAAGCTATGACTGTCATAGGCCTTTAAATGTATGATTAGCTCTTTTGCTATACAGTTTGTATTCCCTACTGTTGAAAGTTACTTTCTCCTCTTAAGCTTCCTTGTGTGCGTAGAGAAGCTGTTTCAATATTGATTGCTTGAAGATCTTATTAGGCTTCTGGAGTAAGAGTGCTGCTTGCGATTGTATAATTCAGACTGTATTGAATTACCCAAAATTTTGTGACTCGAGTCTGTTTTATACTATTATTTTTTTGGTCCTTTTTGTTTTATTGGAAGCACAGGGGGAGGGAGGGAGGAAGGTTTTTCAGACATCTTTTTTTTTTTTTTTTTTTTAACTTCATGATTGCAATGAAGAAGAATCTCAAGTTTTGTACTGTGTATTTCTGAAAATGAATCACAGAATCACAGAATGGCCAGGGTTGGAAGGGACCTCAAGGATCATGAATCTCCAACCCCCTGCCACATGCAGGGCCACCAACCTCCACGTTAAATGCTAGACCAGGCTGCCCAGGGCCCCATCCAACCTGGCCTTGAACACCTCCAGGGACAGGGCATACACAACTTCTCTGGGCAGCCTGTTCCAGTACCTCACCACTCTCTGGGTAAAGAATTTCCCCCTGATGTCTGACCTAAATCTCCCCTCCTTCAACTTAAAACCACTTCCCCTTGTCCTACACATATCAAACCTTTCAAAGAGTTGATTTCTCTCCCCTCTGTAGGCTCCCTTTAGTTATTGAAAGGCTGCAATGAGGTCACCCCGCAGCCTTTTCTCCAGGAGGAACTGGACCTTTGGTTGTTGGGGAGTGTAGATGAATGCTGCTTCAAAGGGTCACACAGGTTCTCTTTGAGGCTCTGGAAGCACTATGTGTTACAAGGTAAATCCCAGGAAAAGCAACGATTTCAGCTTTAACTTAGGTGCAGTATATACTTGGGACCTTGTATATTCTGGTTGATTTTCTAGGTCTTGTTCTTTCTGCTTTAGATAGGATGAAGAACAGCTTGTAGAGATTTTCTTCCCTTTAACTGGTTATAGCTAGTTTACTATGTCCAAACAATATTTTGAAATGCCACCTCTAAACTTTTTAATATGGTATTCATTATGCTTGCATTACATGAGAAAACCATCTGCATCTCCTTAAAACATGAGGGTAACTTGAGAATAAGCTTGACTGCACAGGAAAATGTACATTTTTTAAATAGAAAAGTTGGTGAACTTCATTTGTCCTGTAAAGTGAGCGCTGACATTATCTTTATTTGGTTCCAGACTCGTGTACTTCAGTCTGCAGCAGAAAATGAATCCAGGGACTGGGCAAAGACTAAAACTTAAAGTTGGAAAGGATAGGGGAAACACTTTCTAAATCGTTATTAAAAAAAAGTCAGTTTTCATCTCTGCTCCAAACTTAGAAAAAAGACGTATCCTGTTATGGATGTGGCTTGAGACCTGTGAGCAAAAGTGGTACCAGTATTTCAAGTGGCTAAATTAAGAAACTTACAATATTTTTGGTGTAAGAGTTGATTAAATTTTGTCTAATGGGCAAAAAAAGCAGGAAAAAAATATTTTTTGACACTTATTTAACATATCCTGTTGTGACAGACATACAAAATGCTTTGAGGTAGGAATTTGAAGCTCAGATAGTTGCAGCTCTGATGGTGTGGGCAGGGACAACTTCAAATAGATCAGGTTGCCCGAAGACCCATCATCCAGCCTGGTCTTGAACACCTTCCTGGATGGGGGCAGCCACAGTATGTTCCAGTGCCTCACCACTGTAATTGAAATCCAGTCTATCATTGTTTTAAATAATGTTACCCTTTGTCTTAGCGCTACAAACCCCAGTAAAGAATATCTCTCCATCTTTCTTGTGGGCCTGCTTTATGTATCAGAAGGCTGCAGAAAGGTCCCTTTGGAGCCTTCTCTATATTAAACAGTCCCAGCTCTCCTGGCCTCTCTTCATAGCAGAGATGTTTCAGCCCTCCTATAATTTTTGTGGCACATGTGACATCTTCTGGCAATTCTTACAGGCTGCATTTCTTCAGTTTATCTGTAATTCAAATTACATGGCATCAAAAGCAGAATTTGTCATCAAGCTTTCCAACCACTCTTCAAGATTAATCGCTAATATCTTAATTGACAAATCTTAAAGTTAGGCCTAATTATAATGGGAATCTTCTTTTGGAAGGACTGACACATCCTTCTTTAGCCTTACTAAGCTACTACAGTATATTAAGTTTAACATACCATGATATTCGGTTATGGAGAGTTACTTTGGTAGTTGCAGTTTATAGACATAAGTACTTTGTGTTCCATATGCTATGTTTTCAAATAGCCTTTTTCATTTGCCATCCACTGCGTTTCTGTGTTTGAAAATTTCTCTAATGAATTCTTAGAAGTTTACCGTATCTACAGTGGCTGTGTGTAGAAACTCTGAAAGATTAGATAAGCACTGTTTTGCTCAGAGGTGCAAAAAGTGGGGGAAACTGGTGTTTGAAGCAAATCTCACATTTTGTAACGTATTGTGAGATGCAGAGCAAAGGAAAAGATGAGGGTAAGTCAGTTGAAGAGGAAGCAAGTGGCTTTCCTTTGTCTTCCTGGATACTGCCTTTTTGAATGCCTTTGTTGATGAATATATTTCATTTCTGTACAAATATTACTTTTTTAATACTTTGTGCATTTTTACCTTTATATCTTCACTAGAGGTGGTAGTCTAGCTTCAGTGTCCTGCACCTAGAAAAGTTACTCTGTGAGAGCATTTTTTGTGCTGTTGTATGTGGACTAGTATAAGAAATGAGAGCACCTTTCTTGCAGTTTCTCATCTGGAACCTTACCAGGGGCCAATGTATGTCCTGTGGATTGCCAGCAGGTCTTAGTACTTGCCATTTGTGTAACAGTCATAGCAACATGCCAATGTCCCTGTTATGTATGCATTAAACAATCTCAGTAATACTGTAAATTCTTCTAAGGGGCATTTGCTTTATTCAGTACTTAGTTATTCATTCCTTTTGATATCTTAAAGGTTACCTAGGAAGTTACGTATATAATGTTTCCAGATTATGTCATACCAGAATTAAACTAGAAGCTGCATTAGCTTCTCATAGACATAGCTTTTCTATAGACATCTTGTGAAAAAATGTGGATGTGTTTGTAAGGGATGTTGGTGAAACTCATCTAAGAATGCATGCACTTTAAATCTTTTGGAATGGCTACTTAAAAATTGGAATCTTTTTTAAAGGAAGACTGTATGTGATTCTTTTTCTTATATTATGAAAATATTAAAGGAAAATAAGTGCAAACATTTAATCTTGACAAGAGTGGCTTGAATAGTGATGTGCATGTTCTACTTAGAATTAATACAGCTTTGGAGGATTAAAGGTTTGCGTTTTCTGAATGTCCAGTTGAAAATAAAGAACAATTTATTTGAGCAATAAATTTACAAATTTGATTTTAATAATTATTCAACTCTTACCAGGTAATAGCTAAAAGAAAAGAAGATTCTGGAAAAATAAAACTCTTGCTTCATTGGACACCAGAGGACATGTGAGTATAATCCCAGTAATATGATAGGATGTAAGTGGGAGTTTACAGTAGATTCTGGTACTAGTTTGGGTAAACTTTAAGCTGCACTTTTTTAATGCATTTTGTCATCATATATTATAAATAAAGAGGTCTTCTAATAATTGAGTAATTTTGCCAGCCATATACACAAGAAAAAAAGAATTGTACCAGTGTTTCGTTTTTTTATTTTTTATTTTTAACACTGTTTTACCACGATCTTCAAATATTTCTAGGCACCAGTAAATATATACCCATCAGTGCAATGGTAGAACAAAAATCTTTGCATAGAGGACACAGTTTAACAGCAAAATAACCATAGTTGGTCCTTGAAAGTGTATCTGATATTGTGACTGCTTCTTTGGGCTTTCCCAATGAAGTTTAGAACACTATTCCAACATTTGATTACTTTTTCTCTTGTTGTTCCGAAGTTCTGTCCTTTTCCAAATGAGTATGTAATGCAGTACACAAGTAATGCCCTCAGGTAGGCTTGGGACATACAAAGTAGTAAATATTTCTTTGAAATAGCTGAGATAATATCTTTCTTTTGACAAAGGAATGAATTTATGTAAATATTATAATCTTTATTATATGGAAGAGTAGGCTAAATGATTGCTTTCCACTATTCTCTAGGAGACCAGTAGGCAAAGCAGTTTTAGTAGAGTCAGAGAGTAGCTCTTGCAAGTTTTTCATGATCCACATTTTTATACAGTTTTTAAGGAAAAAAAAATATGTATTTAAAAGTAAATATAGTTATATGGACTCAGGAAGGAAAAATCTATTATGTCTGCTTAAGCTCACATTAAGTCAAATACCTGCATAATTAGGTAGGATGCACAGGTTTAGAAGTTCATTCTTAAAAGTAATGTTGGAAGATATCTGTGCGTTGATAAAACTTAATAAGGGAACTCAATAACTTAAACATTCAGTTGAATAGTCATAGTTTTTTGCAATTACTATATAGAACAAAAGAATCTTTTTAAATATAGAGCTGCCTTTTAAGTGATTGAGTTTGAAGGTAATGAAAAGCCTTAGTGTAGTAATCTCTACTTTCTCCCTTGAAGTGATATAAATTACTCAGTTTTGTAGTGTCCCAGGTCAGTCGTGCAGTAGTGTGAACTTGGCACTGTCAGTCAATAGTAGCTTTCACGTATAGAGGACTAGGATTGCTGATAAATTACCTAGACAAAGTTTAATAACTTTAAAATATCTGTAGCTTTTCCTGCTCTTTGCAGCACTTGTGGATCCCAAATTTCAATTAAACCTGGAAAAGAATAATTAAAATATTGTAGTATAAAAGTGTAGTTCTTTGCTGCCTTCTAGGACACCTTGTTATACTGTACGCAACAGTGTTTTGAAATTACTATCACTGAAGTATTACAGATAGGAAGACAAAATATTACATATTAAGAAGAAAAGGTATTAAAAACATAACACTAAGAGCACGAGAAGTAAATAAATTGGGACTTTTGTTTCCTAGTGTTGTGACAAAAGCTTTTTTTTTTTTTTTTTTTTAACTCATGAAAATATATTCAAATGTTAGGTTTTCTGCACTGGAGAAGACAGGTTATTCATTAGTGTACATCCCTGATGGTTGTAGGGCTGGTTGGCAAGTTCAAAGTAATTACGTATTTCATATTTCTTACATTTTGGTTGGGTTAGGTAGAGAGTGTGCTTCCTCTGCTGAGTGATACAGTTGTGAATTATTTGGTAGATTTAATTTCATCCTGATTATTACAGTTAAGAACAGAAAAGGCAAGATATTGTGTGTTGTCATCCATTTGTCTTACACAGGGCATGTACGCACTTCAGAAAAGCTGAATGCACTCATAACCATTATTTTCCATTGTACTGAGCTGTTAATCAGCCTTTCAGATGGAGCCAATAATATTAATTCAACCTTTTCTTCTGTGAGTCGTTTGGAGAAACTATTAAATTGCTCCAGATTTTCTGTACATCAAGCATTTTTGCAGGAAAACTAAATTACAGTCTTTAGCGAATTTCCTATAAAGGAGTGAAATAACACTGAATTTTTTGGCGCAGGAATTTATTCTGAGGTTTTTTTCTTGTCTTTCTTCATATCTCCAGTGGTATTTACTGTGAGAAGTTTTACACGCAGTTCATATCATTTTGCTTCTTCAGCATACAGTTTCTAATTAAATTGTTTTCAAAATGCTTCTGTTCGAAATACTTGATATCTTCTATTTAAAAAGCTCCATCTGTGATATTTTCGTCATTCATGAGCTGTTTTGAACCTGGGTAGAGAGATTGCTGTTGATTTTCTTCCAACTTCACCTGAAAAGTGAAAATAGTATCTTTGGAAAAATTCCTTTTTCTTCTCAGATAGTTTCTTCTCAGTTCTCTTACCAAAAAATTGAATTTGAATTTCAGCTAACTTCTATTGCTGGAAAAAATAAACTGTTTTGAGTGTTTTGTTTCTCCATTTGAAACTTCCTTCAGAATATTAGTTCATAATTCCAAACTTTTTTTTGCCTAACCTGAAATGAATTTTTTGCTCTTGAATCACTTAAAAAGCAAAGCAACAACAGCAAAGAAAAAGCCCCACTATTTTATGTGGGCTGAAAATAATCCTAGTTTATTTTATTATTTTTATTTTTTCCAGTTGTGAAAGCAGTATGGATTATGTAGCCTTAGTCAGTGCTAACTGTTGGAAAGAGTTGGGAGGTAGGTTTTCAGTAAGGCACTTACAGCATTTGTAAGTCCAGTTTCTCTCTTAACAACCTGACAAGATCAGCAGGGCCTTAAAAACTCAATTCGCTTTCAGTAGAAGATGCAGTAATGCAATAAGCCACTCAGAAGCAAATAGTTTGGTTTCAAATAGTTAAAAGCAAAATGTCGATCAGCGTAGGCTTTCTCTCTAGCTCTTCCAGCAGTTTTCGCTGCAAGAAGTACTGAGACGGTGCTTCCTGTTAATGTGCAAGGTTTTATTCCGTCTCGCATTATGAGCTGTTATGTAGCCAAAATACGTTATGGTGATTGCCTGAATGTCCTCAGAAGGTACTTGAACTTCAGCTGAGTTGGGGCATTTGGACACTTAGAGCAAAATGGTGTGCCTGCGGTAAATTTTATACCTAGTGAAATAGTTTTTAAAGATTTGTTTAGTTCCTGCTATCCATAAAATAGAGAACGGAGTGCTGTTGTTACTGTATGTTTGGTTTAGTATTCTTCTGGATTAATCTAAATTCTGTTTAGTATCTTTTTCATGCTGAGAACTTGAAAGACTTTGGAGTATAATGTGTAAAGATTGGCTGTCTTTTCTTCGCTCCGGTGAAGGTGATTTTTAACCAGTGAAATTGGAGATTGCATATAGAAACTTCATATGTACTAGTTTACCACATAATTTTATGGTAAGAAAAACAGTTGATCTTTTTTGAATATTTTTTTTATTTTATTTATTTATTCATAGTCTGCCTGATGTGTGGGTAAATGAAAGTGAGCGACATCAGTTAAAAACTAAAGTAGTTCATTTATCAAAACTACCAAAAGATACTGCCTTGCTTCTGGACCCAAACATATACAGGTAATGTCTTAATTTTGAAATTTTCATTACTTACGTGTAATCTTAAGCCTCACTTAACTTTTTGACGTTGGGGAATCAGAATTGCTAATGCATTATACACCAGAACAGGGAGCCTTGATCCTGTCAGCGTCCAGTAGTTAAGTTCTGAGGTCTTAAGTTGTTTCAGAATTACTAAAGTTCTTGAACTGAACTCTAGTTACTGAGAAACGGGGAATGTGTGTATTTACCAAGTGTATTTTACTTTTTTGTGCTTGGTGTACAGAAATTCTAGTAAAGGAGGTACATACAGTGGAATCCTGAAAGATCACTTCTGTTAAGATCACATGCTGGTTTGTATACCAATTTTTTTAAAGTCCAAATTTATCTTTACATAATTTATATTCAGCTGTAATACATGCAGTATTACCTTGAAATCTTACTTGTATACAAGTACTGTTTTTTTTTAAATACAAGATTCTTTAAAGGGGGACAGAGGGGAACAGTACATGTCACTTGTCTTTAAGCTGCATTCACATTTATGTTTGTAGGATTTGATTGGCTTTTAACCCATCTTGTTTCTAATAATTTCTTGATTTTTTTTTTCCCCCCCTCTGTATTAATGTGCTCACATAATTGTCAGTACCCACAGTTGTATGTGTGTACAGTTTTTAAAGGTAATCTGAAATGCTTAATTGTCTCTTAAGTTTTTGAAGGTCTAATGTTATGTTTTTATAGGTTTATTTTAAAAATGCATGTATATGGTGGGGACAGAGGAGGGTATTGGGGGGAAGAAAACAATTGTTTTCCCACAACCAGAGTTTCTTTAACTTCCAATGGTCAAGTGTCTGAAAGAGTTCCTGTACTGCTAATTTGAGGTCTTGGTGTGCAATAAGCCTTTCAGTTCACCTTTACTATCAGTGTATTTCACTAATCGAATTAATGAAAGCTTGGTTTACAATATGAAAATAAATCCTCATACTACATGTGCTATCTTTTTAAATGTAAGTATTTTAAATACTTACATTAGCATATGAATTGTTGGTGTTAATGATGTTAATGATAAAATGTTATGAGGAAATGGGATTATGTATTTTAAAGCCACTTAAAGTGGTGACTGTTTTATAACCTAACTTAGGTGTTAATTGTCTTTATATTAATTAACTTTGCGGAACTCGATGTATTACTAGTTTGATTTGAAAAGAAAGAATAATATTGGAAAATGATCTGTAGGGTGAAGTCCATTGGAAAAAAAAAAAAAAAAAGACAACCCTTTCTCCCTCTTCCAAATAGAATTGAAGTCCCTATACATTATCAATTACCAGATTATTATCAATATAGATCAGTATGTGATTTAAAAAAAGCTTTGGGACCAATTAGGAGACAAAAGAATTAAAATCAAAGACCAAAATATCGCATGTGGAAAAGGTGGTCAGAGGAATTCAATCACAGCTATTAATGTCATGATAAAATGTCGATGCTAATAGAAACTTTGAAATCATCTGAAATGTATGCTAATTTGAGATCATATAAAATGGCTCTCAATCAAAGTAAATGATTGTTTATAGTCATGATTCCATAATATGCTCTAGGTAACTTGGATTTACATTTCAGGATCTTTTTCTGAAAGATATCCTATCTTCTTTTACAGAACAATGCCCCAGAAGAGGTTGAAGAGGTAAAAACCAAGCGAATGGGGACAGCTGCAGTCTTAGTCACTGACAATGGATTTAGAAATAAAGTTGCACATTAGTCAAATCCCATCTTTTTTTTTTATAAATATTTATGCTTAGTGTAAACATTCTGTGAATGAAGTTGATGCTTCTGTGGAATATATTAATATATTACTGTATATCCACATTTTCATGGAATGGTACAGTGGGAGATTGAGCAAACACTCTTCTGGCAACTTAGTGGAACAACTAAAAGGCTTTGCATGCTTTCTTCTTTAAGCTGCTTTTTTTCTTTAGTGAATACAATAGTTTATATTGATGAAAAGAAAGTAACCGTCGCCATTTACTCACAATTCCCAAGAGAACTGCTAACAAGCTATTAGGCTTCTTATCAGTGTGAACTAAATATAACACATGCCAGACAATAAAACAGCTACCAAGGGGTTATCCTGTCACCCTTTCAATATGGTGGATAGTAATCATTTGTCATTTGTAACTTCGTGTCCTTTTGCAGATCCGTAAAATATATTGAATAATGTTTAAGGAAAACCAAGAAAAAGCAAGAAACGTGTTGATGGAATGCTTGTCTTTTCCATTCAACTCTGAATACATATAGTACGGTTTAAAGATGTTAAGAGTGTTGCAGTATGTCTGATCCCCCTTTTCAGGAGTGGTATAGTATGTTAATGAAATCTTTTTTTTGTGATTCATATCAATGGACGGTTTTTGAAAAACCTTTACTTAAGCAGTTAGTGTTATTTGTGTTTTATTTTTACTTTTTTGAATCTGTAGAATCCCCATTCACTTGTAAAGTATACTTTTTTTATTTGGCCTAATGTTTTCTAGTTGTAAAGAAAATGGTATTTTTAAAAAAAATATCTAGAAATTCAATCCTTTATGCACCAAAGTTGGCTTTGAAAAGGAAAGTAAAATCACTTTCTTGCTTAATAAGCAAGAAGCCGTGGATTTTTTTAACTGACAAATAGAGATGTGTCTAACCTGTTAGTCTTTGTATGGAGACAAAAATGTTGCATATAGATAATAGGACATTGCTTGTAAATATTTCAGCAGATTTGTAATATATTTTTATATTATGAAATGTACTGTAGATGTTTTTCTAGAGGCATGAAAGTTAAAATGTATATATTACGGTAGAAATAATATTGAAGGATATTGTAATTCACTAGTGCTGCCAGAAGAATTGTTTAAAAAAAGCACCTTCCTTAACAATAAAAAACCCTTCTTTTACATACCTAAGGGACTATATACTACTGTTAATATCTGTTGTAAGAACAAAAACACATTGAACATCCTTCCCAGAAGTCTTTGAGGGATGAATAGTACCCATAATTAATTCATGGCGCTCCTTTCTAATAGTGAACACAAAATTAGTTTTTTTCCTTGCTATTGGAAGGAACTAATACGTAAAATTTATATGGATATATGCAGTCAAACTGCAGAGTTAGTCCTCCTTGTTGGGGAGGAGTTTACTACAGTGAAACTAATAACCAGCAGTTTTTACACTAAATCTTTATTAAATAGAATAAAACTTAGAAGTAACCCTTTGGTTGCGGAAGTGAGCGCACCCTAGTACAATACAAATGCTTTCTGCGTTGGTACTGACATGAGAGTCTTGCTTAGCTCCAATGGGTTAAAAATATTACTTATATACATGAAAAAAAAAATCTTATCAAGCAAAATAAAGTGCAGATTAAAAGCACCACTAATATAAGATGTTCTGGAATGGTTGTTTAATAAGGGTATTATTCATAAAATCTGTTGTGATGTGACTTTATTTTTGGAAAAAAAAAATGCAGTGTTTTTTTTTTTTTTGCTTGAGCACTTCACCTACTGCTTTTTCTGTACCTATAAAATAATCCACAATCTTTGTTTCTTTTATGAATTTGTTATAAAATTGCCAAATAGAAGTGTTTCAGATATAGTTTGTATTTGTATTTTTTTAATTTTATTGCTTCATGAGTTTCTTGTAAGTCATTTATAATTGACAGATGATTGTAGACCTTGCCTGAGTATTTTTTCTAATAAAACAAAGCAAACAAACCTCATTAGCTTCACAATTGTAAGATTTCAATGAAGTTTTCAAAGGTAAATATAAGCATGTCACTAATTTTTTTTTTTTTTTTTATCTAGAAAGAGTGAAACACATACATTTAAACAATTGGGAATTTGGGAAGTCAATCATATATTCTTCATGTAAGCTTTGACTTTCTTTTCCTGGGTATAAAAAAAGTATTTTCAGGTTTTCTCATGATCCAACTTGTCTTTTGGAAGGAAAAAAATAAGTGTAAGACCAAAGCATCTGGGAACAAAATAATATATTAATTGTTTCCCGTAGAGTCAAAAGGTAAGTGGATTTGTGGCAATTTTAACACAAAGGTATAGAATTGAAATAATAAAAAACATTTTACATAAGAGTTTTTTTTTACGTACACATTTTTTAGAATGCACTTTGACAATGTTCTGTGTTTTGGATGATACTGACTACTCTAAAGGTGTGCTTCATTGTTTTTTCTGCCCCCTCCTCCCACCTCTTACAAATTCCAGTTGTGACAGAGTAACCAGGCAGGTGGAACTGACATGGCATAGGAGTTCTGAGAAATATTGTTCTATTTTTCATACTGTTTTTCTTGAAATGCATTAATAATTAATTCTTCTCTCAATTCTTGAGCAGTTACAGATATCTTAGTTCTGGGTGTAACATGTAGAGGCTTCCTCCTATTGTTCTAAGCAACATTCCTTTTTCCAGTTACTTAGATTTTCCAGTTAGCAGCAGAATGCATCTCCTCCCACTTGGACTGTTCATTTTCTTTGTAGAAATATACTGTAAAGACACAGTTATTTACTCTTAACTGCAAGCTGTTTCCTGCAAGATCTGGGAAGTGTAAAATTTTAGTAATTTTGCAGTTGAATTTTAATCTGGAGTACGTATTTCATGAGGCTCGAGGGAACTGGGCAAGTTCAGCTAGATAAGAGGAGTCTTTTGGAGGAACCTAATGTCAGTGTTTCAGTAGCTAAGCAGTTACCAAGAAGGTAGAGCTAGGATTACTAGAACTGCATAGCAGGAGAAGGAGTTGTCATCGGTGGTCATGAAATAGAATTTTTTTTTTTCTCTCCATCATGAGGAAGGTTGAACATTGGAACACAGCACTTAGAGATTGTGAAATCCCTGTTCTAGGAAGCTTTCAAGTTCCAGGCAAAGCCCTGAGCAACTTGGTCAGGATTCATTGTTAGTGCTGTGCTGAGCTGAAGATCAGATTAGATCCTTTTCCAAGGAAGCTCTCCACATGAATAATCCTGTGTTCTGATTCAGAAGGAAGTTGGCTTTCTCCTTCAGCCTTGAACTCAGGTGGGCATCAGAACTGTTTGCTAGCATGATCTAAACATAGCTGTGTTCATAGATCAGGGCTAGAATTGGAGTTGTTTGATATGAAAATTAATCGGTTGTGGCAGTGACTTGGATCTGGGGCTTTAGTCTACATTTTTGTTGGCATCCTACGTAGCTGATCTTCAGTGGCACTGTCGTAAGGTAAATGCTGGGGCATGAAGATGTGGGGACAGTGATGTGGGGTGCAGTGTTTGCTCATTTACTGTTGGGTGACAGCAGCAAAGATTTTCGTAAATGTCGTCTTAGATATTATTCAGAAATGATATCTTAGATCATCCTACTTCTGGGACATCTTCAAAGAACATGTGCTGAACTCTGTTCTATAGCAGTTCTGATTTTCAAGAGATACAGTACACCCAAAGACCTGTACCCGAAATTACCAGTCCTTTTGCAGTGTGTTGTCTTGACTTTTACAGTTTTCTAAGCATGACTAACAGGATTTTGAATGAATTTTGGGAATGAAGATCATGTCTGTCTTTTGCTTGAGTGGAAATTCTTGTTTGGGAAAACTTCCTGCTGTTTGAGGATAGCATACAGCTGATGGTTTGATATTAGATCTTATTCTGCCTTTAAAATTACTTCGAAAATAAATGAGGCAGAAACACATCAGTTGCATATAAGTACTTTCTCTTGAGTAACTGTTTTTTCACATTTTGCCCTGATTGCCATATATACAGCACTTAGCATTTTTTTTTTCTTCACTTACGTAAGTCCACTACATAATAACCCTATGCAGTGCTTCAGACTTGGGGATGAGTGACTGAATGACTCTAAAGAGGAAATGGACCTGGGAGCATTGGTTGATGCTCGACTGAGCATCAGCTGACAGTGTGCCCAGGTGGCCGAGAGGGCCAACAGCATCCTGGCCTGCATTAGAAATAGCATGGCCAGCAGGAGCAGGGAGGTGATCATCCCCCTCTACTCAGCACTGGTGAGGCTGCACCTTGAGTACTTCACTACAGGAAAGACATTGAGACCCTGGAGCATGTCCAGAGAAGGGCAGTGAAACTGGTGAGGGGTCTGGAGCACAAGTCTTACTTGTGTGGCTGATGCAGGTGGGATTGTTTAGTCTGGAGAAGAGGAGGCTCAGAGGAGACCTCATTGCACTCTACAACTTCCTGAAGGGAGGTTGTGATGAGGAGGGGTTTGCTCTCTTCTCCCAAGCAACAAACAGGACCCGAGGAAATGGCTGCAAGTTGTACCAGAGGAGTTTAGGTTAGACGTGAAGAAGAACTTTTTCTCTCAGAGAGTGGTCAGGCACTGGAATGGCTGCCCAGGGAGGTGGTGGAGTCGCCGTCCCTGGCAGTGTTCAAGAGGCGTCTGGGTGAGGAGCTGCGAGATATGGGTTAGTGCTTGTGGTAGCAGTGGTAATGAGAAGATGATTGGACTAGATGATCTCATAGGTTGCTTCCAACCTTGTGGCTCTATGATTCTAAGTCATGGTAAGTAATGGTAACAGTTTCCAAGTTATGTTAGAACTTACATCTGGACTAACTTGTGAACAAATGAGTTAATTATGTTTAAATCTACATTAATTTTAGGAAGAATCACTGTTTGATTTCTGTTTCTTACAGCTTTTTTTTTTTTTTTTTTTTTTTTTGGTGCAGCATGTAAATTGGTTACTATAGGAAAATTTGTCTTACTTAGTATATCAGTCTGAAATTGATGATTTATCCTCACTTTTATCTCCCTGATGTTTTACACTGTTTTATGAAACAAATCATAAGCATTTATTTTTTCCACATAAAGGTATCAAAGTATTAAAAAAAAAAAAAAAAAGTTGTCTAATCAGGAACATTGGTTTTTCTTAAAAAAGCAGTGAGCTGACTCTATGGCTTCTTTGATTCATGTTCTATCAGCTGTTAAATAGATGTTCTGTGAATAGATCCTATATACACATGGCTTTGAAAATAAAATAAACAGCTTGATCTGTAAAACAATCAGGTCTAAACAAAACATTCCAACAGCTGACGATAGTCGTAACATCACATGGATCTTCTTAATCCAGTAAAGATGCCCTTAGGCCTGTTAGTTATCCTTGTATTTGCTTACATCAAGCTAATACCCTGCTAAATTATGTTGCTTCAACTTTTAATAATTTTCTGAATTATGTGATTTGAGAAACAAAAAAAAACACACCAATCCTTTTCTGTTTTGTTTGAGCAGTACTATGGAAAAATATTTTAAAAACAAGAATACCTTCATGTATTTTCAGTGGGGCCCCCCTTTTTTTTTTTCTTTTCTAAGAACTGTGTGTTTGCAAATACAAAAGCTGAGTTAGGACTAACAGAATAAAGTCACATTAATACAGCTGTAGTCTTCTAATGCTTATAATGGGAGCTTGCAGGTATAAATACAAGTGTGTAATCTCCTGGAGTGTATTTATGAGAATAATTAATACAATGCCAGAGGGTTCCACTGCTGTAGTCTCTAATTACAGTGTTTTTCTAATATATTATAAACTAAAATTTGACGAACAATAAAATCTCATACTCTGGAAAATTATTTTTCATCCATTTGTTCTGTTAATTTCCCTGATAGCTGACAAAATGTCTACAGCAGACCCAGACACTCTGTGAAGATTCAGGACATCTCCTGGGTTGGGGTTGCACAAAGAGCATTCATTTGGTTTCTGTTAAAAGCAGAGCACTGGATTGAAGAAATGGGAGCTGAGAATTTGCTCTTCCCAGGTGATAACGAGCATAGACCATTTCTGCAACCTCTGTTTTTTGGCTTTTTGACTGCAAGTGGCAACATTGAGAGCTTGCTTTCCTTTTTGTACCTGTCCTTATAGTGAAAAAATCTCCCTGGAATGTTTGTCTGGGTGTCTTAGCTTTTATACTGCCACATCTATGAAGTACATATGTTTGCAGTTTGACTTAATTTTATCAAAATTCTGGGTAATTATTGCTGGTTTGTTTTATTTATTTATTTATTTATTTATTTATTTTTTTAATGAGTAGTGTTGGGATAGTGTTATCTGCACCTTCATGCTTTATAATTCTTCAGGTTTTTTTTTTTTTTTTTTTTTTTTTTTACAATCATTTTCAGGGGTAACAGCACAGCTGGAAGGTATCCATTGATATCCACAATATCTGTTCATGTGTTGAACTGTCCCTACTGTAGCTAACAGAGTAACTCGTACCAGTAATGGGTGACATCTTTCATGCAGACTTGGAACAAGAGGGAAGGAGAAACGACTTGAGGATTAAGTATGTAAAGATTGAGTGTTGGGAATACTAGGTTCAGTTCTAGTCAAGAAAGAAATGCTAATTATGTTTCTCTTCTAAGCCTCTATATTAAAACCTTTATTTATTTGCTTATTTATGTAGTGATGACAAAAGCACCAAGGAATGACTAGTTGTCTTGGCCTTAAGTGACTTGAATTTGGCATTATTGGATGAGAGACTGAACATGAGCCAGCAGTGCGCTCTGGCAGCTCGAAAGGCAAATGGGATCCTGGGCTCCATCAGGAGAGGGGTGGTCAGCAGGGAGAGGGAGGTGATTGTCCCTCTCTACTCGGCTCTTGTGAGGCCCCTTCTGGAGTACTGTGTCCAGGTGTGGAGCCCTCAGTACAAGAAAGACAGAGAGATTTTGGAAAGGGTCCAGAGGAGGGCGACTAAGATGATCAGGGGGCTGGAGCACCTCCCCTATGAGGACAGGCTGAGGGAGTTGGGCTTGTTCAGCCTGGAGAAGAGAAGGCTGCGGGGCGACCTCATTGCAGCCTATCAATACCTGAAGGGAACCTACACCCAGGAGGGGAGTAAACTCTTCAAAAGGGCTGACAACAGCAGGACTAGGGGAAATGGATCCAAGTTGAAGGAGGGAAGATTTAGGTTGGATGTTAGGGGGAAGTTCTTCACAAGGAGAGTGGTTAGGCCCTGGAACGGGCTGCCCAGGGAGGTTGTGGATGCCCCGTCCTTGGACGTGTTCAAGGCCAGGTTGGACGGGGTCCTGGGCAACCTGATCTAAATGTGTACGTTTGGTGGCCCTGCTAGGCAGGGGGGTTGGAACTACATGATCCTTGAGGTCCCTTCCAACCCGGGTGATTCTGTGATTCTGTGATTATTGGTGATAGCCCATAGGAAAAGGGCTGAATTTTACAGGGTGAGCCTCCCAGATGCCAAGCAGTTTGTACAAGACTTGTTCCTTCTGTCGTGTACATGCATCTGTTACATTTCAGTGTATATTCAGGTAAGTTCACTAAGAAGAATGCTGCAAAGTACCAACCAGCTTCATCTATGATGATTTCAAAAAAATGCTTCAGACAGACTGTAGTCTTTCTGACTAACAAACAGAAACTAGAAAGCGTGCACTCATTTCTTACCTTTTCACATGAACATGTATAGTTCCGTTGTTTTTGGAAGAGAAAATGTACTGCATTGAGGAGATCTGAGAGTTTGAAAATGTCACTCGTTGTGTGCCTGCTTTTTGGAATGCTTGCTTTCAAAAACGTCCAGCAAAAAGCATAAAATATATTAAACCCTTAAACCCAATATATAAAAATATATTTAACCCTTATTAAACCCAATAGCTGTTGTCTCCAATGATCGCCAATTCAGATTGGTCAACTTGCAGATCATGGAGATGCTTAGGGTGTGATGTTATTTGATGACACCATGCTGGTTTTCATTGCTACAGCACGTTTTGGTGAGTGAGTTGCTTCAGTTTTAGTGAGCTAATGAAAATGATGCCAAAACCTGTACCAGTCTAACCAGGGCCTATGTAAACTTAAGAATTTTGTGATAACTTAGAACAAAGTCCAAAATGAACTTAGAAAATACTTGAATGCTGGTAATACATGCCTATAAAGTTAAGTTTAAAAGTGAATTTTGGAATAGTCATAGAATATTTTATGTTGGAAGGGACTTAAAGATTATCTGTTTCAACTCCTTACCACAGCTGCCACAGGTAGGGACATCTTTCACTAGATCATAGAATGTCTTGGGTTGGAAGGGACCTGGATCTTGGCACTCTCTAGGTTGCTTTCCTAGGGCCCCATCTGACCTGGCTTTGAATGATCGCCGAGGATTGCTGCTTCAGAACTGCTCCAGCCTGAAGCGCAGCCACTGACCGCGAGGTACGGGGGGCTTTGGTCGGTTCTCTCGCTCAGGGATCCCCGAGAGAGAACAGAGCAGCCAGGCAGCTCTCGGCCGGGCAGCTCTCGCGAGAGCGGCCCACGCGGCGGGAGCGTTGCTAGGTCAACGGCTCTGCACCCACCCCCTCTTGCCTAGAAATCGCCTCAGGGAGGGCAGCAACCGGTCGCTGCCCAGTGAAGAAGGCGGGAGAAACACTGGGGCTGATTTATCGAGGAGAAACAGTAAGCCACTCCTACCCGGGACTCCCCTTCAAGGACGGCTGTTGTCGCCCTCGGGTAAGTGATAAGTGCGGGGGCTCCCGTTAAGGACCCGGCAAATGGACCTGGGCAAAGCCAGCACTGCCGGCAGCAGGGTGGGGCTGATAAGGCGCACCTCATTCAGTATTTAGTAGTGTTTATACCTGCTGGTCTGCGATGGCTGCACCGTGGAGGAAGGCTAATGCCGCAAAAATTATGGAGACCCAGACGGCAATCCCATGCTCACGCAGAAAAAAGACTGCAGCCAAGAAGAACGTGGAGACCCAGACAGGTCTTGTGCCTGCTTGAAAGGATAACCGGTGCAAAGACGAGTGTGGAGACTCAGACTGAGGCCCCAACACGAGATATTAGTACACTGGTCACTGGCTGTCACAAGTGCCAGAGCCTGGCCTTTGAAGTACCAGACAATGGTGGTGGTAGTTGTATAAGATGTGACCAGTTACAGGACTTACTCAGCCTGGTGGTCGACCTGAAGGAGGAGGTAGAGAGGCTGAGGACCATAAAGGAGTGTCAGAAGGAGATTGACTGGTGGTGCCAGTCCCTATCGGCTCCAAGATCTGGGAGCGTAGCTGAGGCACCACATGGAGCATCTCACTCCCCGCAGCCTCATAAACAGGTGAGAGAAGGGAAACGGCAGGCCGACAGTGTTGCAGGGAGCCTCCTGTCCTCTCCTCTACCTTTGAGCAATTTGAGAAAGGGGGAGGAGTGGAAACAGGTACCGGTTCGACGAAGCAGGTGTCCCCCATCCCGACGGTCCTTGGCCCTGCCTCTGTGTAATAGGTTTGATGCCCTGGAATCTGAGGGAGAGGAGTGTGGGGATGTGGAGGGAAGTCAGCCTGTGAGGTTGCCTCAGGTACAGCGGTCGACTCCGTGCCTCAAGATTGCTTCCACCCGGAAGGACAGAAAGGTGGTGGTTGTGGGAGACTCCCTACTGAGAGGAACCGAAGGCCCTATATGTCGCCCTGACGCTGCCCGTAGGGAAGTGTGCTGCCTTCCTGGGGCACGGCTCAGGGACATTTCTAGGAGACTTCCTGGTCTGATTCGCCCTTCTGATTATTACTCGCTATTGATAGTCCAGGCTGGCAGTGATGAAGATGCTGGGAAAAGTCTCAGGGCTATCAAGAAAGACTTCAGGGGACTGGGGCGGGTAGTTGAGGGAGCAGGCGTGCAGGTGGTGTTTTCTTCCATACCTTCAGTTGCAGGGCAGGATGCTGAGTGGTACCAAAAAACCCACCTCATAAATAAATGGCTTAAAAGCTGGTGCAAATGCAGGAGTTTTGGTTTTTTTGACCATGGTGCAACTTGCTTGGCGCCTGGTATGATGGCAGCAGATGATGGATATAGCCTGTCTCTGAGAGGGAGGAGGATCTTAGCTGAGGAACTAGCAGGACTCATTGACAGGTCTTTAAACTAGGTATGAAGGGGAAAGGGGACAAAACCAGAGCTGCTGGGGTTCAGTGGGTCGTTCGAGGGCTCGTACCGAACTTGATAGGCAATGACGGTGAGGTACAAAGTGATGGACTGGGGCAGGGGGGAGTTGGGGATGCTGCTGTTTTAGGGAAGCCTAGATCCTCTACAAAGGAGGTAAGACGGAAAACTCAGCTGAAGTGCCTTTATACCAATGCACGCAGCCTGGGAAACAAGCAGGATGAGTTGGAAACTGTGATGCACTTGGGAAGGTATGACCTTGTTGCCATCACAGAAACGTGGTGGGATGAATCTCATAACTGGAACACCACCGTTGAGGGTTATTGGCTCTTTAGAAAAGATAGGCTAGGTAGAAAGGGTGGGGGAGTTGTCCTCTGTGTCAAAGAGTGGATAGACTGTGAGGAGCTCCCTCAGAGAAACGGTCAATAACAGGTGGAGAGCCTGTGGGTTAGAGTTAGGGATGGGTCTAACAAAGGTCAACTGGTGATAGGAGTATACTACAGGCCGCCTGATCAAGGGGAGACTGCTGACAAGGCTTTCTTGCTTCAGATGTGGGAGGCTTCGTGCTCGCGGGCTCTTGTGCTGATGGGGGACTTCAACCATCCAGATATCTCTTGGAAAGACCACACGGCAAGTTGCAAAAGGTCTAAGAGGCTTCGGGAATGTGTTGATGATAACTTTCTGGTCCAGCTGTTCACTAATGCGGAGGAAATCATTACTG